ACTCTGACATTCCCTTTGCCTTGAATCCTAGGACCCACCTCTTATGTTCAGTGAGGAGTACCAGAAAGCTCTCCTGGAGAATTATCATTCGGTTTTCGATCAGAAACGAAAGGAATATGTGATTGGAGAACTCATCTGGAATTTTGCTGACTTTATGACCAGCCAGAGTGAGTGTCTGTTAGGCGTATGGATTTTTCTCAGGTTGGCTTTTCCAGTTCTGGGCTTTTGTAAGAATACGAAACGGGGCTAGGGAGATGGCTTAGGTAATATTTGCTTTGGTCTATTTTACAACAGTTAAAATTGGGTCAGTTCACACCCTCAACTTTTGATAGGGTCTCACTATGCAACTCTGGCTGGCCTGTAGACCAGGCTGACCTAGCACTCACAGTGATCCAGACTGCCTCTGCCTCCTGGGTGCTTGGATTAAAGGTGTGCTCCTCCATAGTATTTTAAACTTTACTACATTTTTATTGTGTGGGAGAGTGGGGTGTGTGTGCATGCCATAACACATAGGTAAAGGGTAGACAGCTTTGGGAAGTCTGCTTGTTCCTTCCACTGTGAGGGTGCCTGTGATTGAACTTGGGGTGATTTGGTTTAACGGCAAGTTCCTTTCCTTTGTGAGCCATCTTATCAGCCCCCCTTGTTTGTTTTTTTAAAGCACCACTGAGAGTAGTGGGGAACAAAAAAGGGATCTTCACTCGTCAGAGACGCCCCAAAAGTGCGGCATTTATTTTGCGAGAGAGATACTGGAGGATTGCCAACGAAACCAGGCAGCATCACCATTCAGTGCCAAGAACCCAGTGTTTGGGAAGCAGACCATTCACATTCTAAAGCTAGAACTACCTCACTGCAGACGCGACCTCTGATGAAATGAAAGACGTTCTCAACAGAGCAGGTGTCCCCCAGACAGTTCCTGGCACCAGAGTTTTTTGACTTTGGATTTTGTGATCTGCTAGAAGGGGACACTAAAAGTGACAATAAAGTTTTTCTTGTATGGGAATAATGACTTGCTATCAATATCTGAGCTTAAGCTCAGTAACATGTCGTGCTGAGAAGTGTTTGAGGTCATTTCTGCCTCCTCAGTTTTTGGCCTAGCTTTGTGCACTCTTGAAAACCTGTGTGTGGACACTCACACTTCCTTAAGGGATACAGGTGAAGGGCTGGAGAAATGGCTCCGAGGTTAAGAGCACTGACTGCTCTTCTAGAGATTCCAAGTTCAAGTCCCAGTACCGACTTGACCAACTGCCATCAGAATCACCATTTCCTAGGTGATACCAATGCCCTCATTTGGCCTCTGCAGGCACCACATGCACGTGGTGTACAGACAGACAGACACACGTGGGGAAAATAGCCATACATGTAAAATAATAAAAATTCAAATTGTTTTATTTATTTATTATTAGTTTTTCGAGACAGGGTTTCTCTGTGCAGCCCTGGCTGTCCTGGAACTCACTCTGTAGACCAGGCTGGCCTCAGACTCAATAGAGATCCTCCTGCCTCTACCTCCTGAGTGCTAGGATCAAAGGTGTACGCTACCACCCACCCAGCTAATTTTGTTTTAAAGTGCTACAGGCGACAGACTGCTCACTGCCCCAAGAGACCCACGCTTGGGCATCAAAACTGGCTAATCTTGACCCAGTAAGAGTCAAAAGACTCAGGTGGGCGGTGGTAGCATAGCACGCCCGTAATCCCAGCACTCGGGAGGCAGAGGCAGGAGGATCTCTGTGAGTTCGAAGCCAGCCTGGTCTACAAAGAGAGTCCAGGACAGTCAAGGCTGTCTGGAAAAACAAAACAAAACAAAAAGAGTGAAAGATTCACTCATTAAACCCCACAGAGGAGCTGGGTGTAGTGGCACATGGCACATGACTTTAATCCCGTACTCAGGAGGCAGAGCTGTCTCAAAACAAACCCCCTACAGATTAGCCACAGACCCATGGGGATTCACATACATAGAGAAGTCCTATATAGTACAGCGGCTGACAGACCACTTTCCATGGTTGAGATGACAAGTTAAGGTTCAAATACCGAGTCTCTGAATTGTGAACTCCCAACTCCAGCCTAGTCTTTGGGTTTATATGCATGCTTGTGGAGGCCAGAGAACCACCTCGGCAGCTATCTGCCTTTGTTTTTGAGACAGGGTTTCAGATTAGGGGAGAATTCACCCAGTTTAGGCTGGTTGTCTCTGCCTGTCTCTACTTTCCCAGTGTTGACATTATAAGCACATGCTATCAGTCCCAGGCCAGCTCTTAAGCATGAGTTCTGAGGACTGAACCCAGGGTCCTTATGCATGTACCACAAGCACTTCTATAGTTCAAACTTGACAGGATAGTTTTGTGTAAAAGCCTAATGGTTCTCAGCAGTGCCACTGACTAGGACCTGCCTCTTTAAACAGGGCCTATATAAACTAGTGTTCTGTGGCTGGTACCTCCAGAGTGATGACCTATTGTCTTGCTAAGTCTTTCCCTGGGGATTTGTCCCTGGATCCCTGGTCCAGACACTCCATTGAAGCAAGGGTATATACAGCCCGGTATTCTTCTGAAGATCAACACTGGTGTAGGGATGATGTCCCGAAAAGAGCTTCTGAGCTGTCCAGTCAGGTGGAAGACAAGGAGCCATGTGCCGTGCTGGAAATGAGTGGCCTCGTCTCAGGGTCAGGTGCATGCCTCTACACACATCCCTTTCCAGTCTTCCTTCCCTAGACCCACGGAAAGAAGAGAGCGCCTCCTCCTGCTAGCTTGAGATAATTTAAGACAGACTCTTGGGGGACCGTAGGATGACTGTGGCTTATAATAAGTTTTGGGTTTACTCAACTACTGGGCAAGCCTCAATCAAACGTTTCACTATTAGGATAAGAATTTAAACTGTATCAAGCTGATAATAGAAAAATAAATAAATTTTAAAAAATAAAAATTAAAAAAAAAACCACTGTTATTTGTTCAAGTGGGAAGGGATTTTAGGAGAGCTATATTTCATGTCACCATGGACCTCTTAAAAATTTCAAAATAATCTAGTTTTGTGTCTTATTATAAATTTTATTAATATTTTAATAATTTACTTTCTGTGTATGAGTGTTTGGGTACCATGTGCATGCCTGGCCTGGTGCTGGTGGAGGCCAGAATACATCAGATCCCCTGGAACTGGAGTTATAGGTAGTTGTGAGCCACCATGTGGATGCTGGGAATTGAACCCCAGTCCTTTGGAAGAACAGCTAATGTTATTAACCAATAAGTCATCTCTCCAGTCATCCCCTAGTTTAAATAAAGTTTCTTAGGTGACAATATGCTAAATGGAAGATATGCAAATGTTTTACAAATTAGAGATGAGGTATGATTCCTAAGTCCGAAAATGGTCTTTTTGCTTTGTTTTTTGAAACAGGATCTCATGTATTCCAGGCTAGTCTCTCTTTTTTTGTGGTTTTGAGACAGGGTCTCTCTGTAATCCTAGCTGTTCTGGAACTCAATACGTAGACCAGGCTGGCCTCGAACTGAAGAGATCTGCATGCCTCTGCAGGGATTAAAGGAGTGCACCACCACACCTGGCTGGGCTAGTCTTTTAAGTTAGTATTCAGCAGAGAATGACCTTAAACTTTTAAAATTAACACAGTCCACGTGTGGATGTCAGAGGACAACTTGAGGTAGGTAATGTATGTTCTTCTTCAACTGTGTGGGTCCTGTGGATAAATCTCAGGCTGCCAGGATATGGCAAATGCCCTAACTCACTGAGCCTGTCACTGGTCCGACCTTGAATGCTTTGCGCCTCCTGCCTCCACTTCCCAAGTGCTGGGATTACAGGTTCTCATTATCAGTCCCAGTTTATACCAACCTGGGGCCTTATACATCCACCCATGCAAGCTATCAACAGGACTATATCCCCAACCCAAGTCCTAAAGTTTCATGTAAAACATGTTTTAGTCAGTGAAGGATGGTTAGATTTCAAACAGACTAATCTGTTTATAGATTAGTCCATTTTAGTCTTTAGAGGGTTGTAGGAATGGACAATTCAAAGAAAGCTATGGAAAGACATCTTAAGATACTCTAGCCGGGCGGTGGTGGCTCACGCCTTTAATCCCAGCACTCGGAAGGCAGAGGCAGGTGGATCTCTGTGAGTTCGAGGCCAGCCTGGACTGCCAAGTGAGTTCCAGGAAAGGCGCAAAGCTACACAGAGAAACCCTGTCTTAAAAAAAAACCAAAAAAACCAAAAAACAAAAAACCACTGTTTCAGCCGGGCGGTGGTGGCGCACGCCTTTAATCCCAGCACTCGGGAGGCAGAGCCAGGCAGATATCTGTGAGTTCGAGGCCAGCCTGGGCTACCAAGTGAGTCCCAGGAAAGGCGCAAAGCTACACAGAGAAACCCTGTCTCGAAAAACCAAAAAAAAAAAAAAAAGATACTCTATGTAACATCTATGGTCAGTCCTCCCCTCCCTTTTTAGGTGTATGGATGTTTGCCTCCACACCACTGTATTTGCATGCCTGCCTGGTTCCTAGAGCATCAGATCCCCTACAACTGGAGTTACAGATGGTTGTGAGCCACCATGTGGGTGATAGGATCTGAACCTAGGTCCTCTGCAAGAGCAGCAAGTGCTCTTAACTACTGAGCCATCTCTCTAGCCCCTGTCTTTTTTTTTTTTTTAAAGACAAGGTCTCACCAAGTAACTCTGGCTGTCCTAGAAATTCATTATGTAAACCAGGCTGGCCTAGAACTCACAGAATTGTCTGCCTCTGCTGTGATTAAAGGTCTAAGCTACTACAGCACCCAGCCCTGCCATGGATTCTCGACAATCACATATGTAACAAACCCACAGGAACCCAAGAACATCACCCCTAAGGAATCTGTATCCTCTCTAAGTTACCTGAGATTTAAGAGAAAAGGTTCCAGATTAGTGCCTGTAGGGACAAAGTTACAGTACCACGGATACGCACGTTCTTCCTGACTCTAGACTTCATCTCATCCACATTCGTCTGAAGACTCCACACTGAAGTAAGAACAATGGCAGCACAATGTCCACAGGTAACGTCTACATTTATTTTATACCAAAAAAGTTATGTGCAACAAATAAACATTCTTACATATTTACATCGGTTTTTATTTACCAGTTAGCAAAATGGTATCCTAAATCTCTGATAAAGAATATTTCTATCTATATTAAAGAGGGAATCTTCCCAGTGAACTCCTTTTTACATGAATGTTTACTCAGGAGCTTTTGAAGCATGAGTAATATTTTAGATGGAACAGACTTCACAGGTCATAGACACCTATTATTTAGGCCATGCTCAATACAGCTTCATAACATTTCACCTCTTCCGGGCCAATTAGTTTAAAAAGGGGGTAGGGGGGGTGTTTGATCAAGTTGCCTGGGATCCTACTCTGCCCCTTTGATTGTAGGGTTGTTCTCACACATTAGGATTCATAAATGTGCTGCCTAAAATGCTAAAAGGGGTAGAGGGGCAGGTTCACTGATGGATGCCGAAGGAAAAACACAGGGGTGGTTCCTGGAAATGACAGTGGGGAGCTTTGCTGACATTTCTCTGACTTTTAAGGTAAAGCCACCACCTGTCAGTAGTCATCAGAACCAACTGCTAGTGCCAACTATAGCTTAGGAAGTCATTGCTGAGGAGTTTTTGTGTTTTTAATTTTGCTTTTGAGACAAGGTCTCATATAGCCGAGGTTGGCCTTGAACTTCTGGTCCTCCTGCCTCCACCTCCCAAGTGCTGGGATTCTAGGTGTGTGCTACCATGCTTGGCTGCACTTTACCGTAGTCTTTTGAAAATAATTATAAATAAAAACAAAAAAAGCAGCAATATTAATTTATTGTTCTCTATCTTACCTCATAGGTAAAGGGTACTTTGTACCAAATGAAATACTTTTATATGTGCATGGGTGTTTTGCCTGCATGTATGTCTATGCACCATATGCAGTGCCCTTGGAAGCCAGAAGAGGGCATCGGATCCCCTGAACTGGAGTTACAGATGTTGTTAAGCTGACATGTGGGTGATAGGAGCTGAACCCAGGTCCTCTCCAAGAGTGACGAGTGGGCTGTCTCTTTATATGAAAAAAGTCAATGTCTTTCAACATCCTTCCGTATAATGAATTTGAACCACTCATTCTAGCACTTGGGAGGCTAAGGCAGGAGGAATGCCAACTTTGAAGCCAGCCTGGGCTATGTACTGAGTTCTAGGATAGCCTAGCCTACAGAATGAGATCATCTGTCTCTTAAAAAAAAAAAAACAAAAACAAAAGAACAACAACAAAAGAGTTGAAGGAGAGGTTACATATATGAAGCAAAACAATTCCTGGAATGCAGCTAGTGCAACTTGTCAACCCTGAGTTGTCCCAGTTTAGCCTCCCTGGTAGAAACCAGCTGCGGGAAGGAGGACCAAGGGAACTCGCTCGCACAGGCCGACCACAGTCCCTGGAGCACGCCTTGCCCGAACTTCTTACTCCTTCAAATCTCCTCACTACCAAGTGAAAGGCTTCACAGAATTACTGTAGGAGTCATTTCCCCCTAGTCTGCCCGTCCACAGTTACTGTTAGTCACGTTCAGTGTTTGCTGTTATTTTGTGGGTGGGCTTTTTAAGACATATATATTTATATTTATTTCACTATATAACCCTGGTTGGCCTGGAGCTCACTATTTAGACCAGGCTGGCCTCCAACTCAAGAGATCCACCTGCCCCTGCCTCCCAAGTGCTGGGATTCAAGGTGTGTGTCACCATGCCCAGCCAAACCCTGCTTCTTCAGTGTTTAAATATTCAGTCTGAAACAGTCATAACAGTATTAGCAGTTTTATAACACAGTATTTTTCTCCCCCATTCTACTAGGTTTAATAGAATTTCCTCAGGGCAAAAACTACCAAATAAAACACAACAGGGTCGCTTACTGAGAACATATATTTTAGCAAATGCTTTTTTTCTTTTCTTTCTTTTTTCTTTTTTCTTTTAAAGACAGGGTCTCCTGTAGCTAAGGCTGGTCTCCAATTTGCTATGTAGTCAAGGATGACCTTGAATTCCTGATCCTCTTCCTCCTACCTCCCAAGTGAGGGGACCACAGGCAAGTGTGAGCACAGACACTCTTATTTCAGACAGCACCTGTTAACTCTCAGTGAGAAAGGGGTATTCACTCTATTGGGTCACAGGAATGTAATAAACAAAAAATCCATACAATCTATAATGGTGGTACTCCCAAGACTTAGGGAAGCTATGAAGGGTCTGGTGGATGAATACTCTCACCTTTTCCTGGGTAAGTGTTGAAGACAGCTGTACTGTCAAGACACGCTTTAACGCCACTCTGTTGAGTGATAAAAGACAAAAGTTCATTTGGAATTGGGATCCAAGGGACTTGTTTAGCACACCCTTGATATGTAAGTAGCAGAAGTCTTGGCTATTAGCCATTTCCACTGCTTCGGGAGACCCGGACGAAGGGCTACGAGATGACCTCACTGTACAGTTCTCTCATGAGGAGTTGGTTCTCCTAAATACCATTCAGTACTTTCTAGAAGTTCTTTAACTACTTCAGAAGACAACAACAATGCATACATAGTAAGACAGTCATGGAAATGTTCACATTTGTGGGGCAAACACAACCTTTGATGAAATCAGAATTAAGCTTTTTTTAAGAAACTGGTGAGAGAAAAAAAAGAAAGAAACTGGTTAGAACCTACTAACAGGGCATTACAATTCCTATTTTATACCTGCCCTGGGCCAGAAATCCTATGGTGCATAAGTTGTGACTGAAGGTCCTAAACCACTCAACGATTGCTGACCATACACGTTCTTTACAAAGCAAAGCCTGTTTCCTCCCTCCAAAAGAAGGCAAATAAAAGCTCTCAGAATTTGCCATCTAGTTGCCTATTTTTAACATAATCATTAATCAAATCGTAAATCAGAACATTGCCACTACTTCTCAACCCAAGGAATAAAATGGCTGCAAAGCCCCTTCTGGTAGAAAGCAAATTCTCTGCTTCGTGGTAAGGAATGAAAGGAGGGATACTTCTGCCCCGGTTCAACACACAGAATGATTTGGTTTGAGATTGAAGACAGAAGGCACTTTGAACATCTCCTGTAAGATGCTAACCAGAGAAACACAGTAAACCATGCCATCGGGTTTATTCAGATCACCTCTGGGTTTCTTCTCACTGCTTCTGTGTGGCTACTGGAGTGGGACAAAGTTTCCATGTTTCACTTCCAAGTCTTTCTATGTGTTGTGTTTCTTCTGAGTCAGCAAACTGGTCCTCGTGTCAGCCCTAAGGTTTACAAATTCAATATGTAATTGTGAAACACTTACTGACAATCCTTAGTGCAAGAAGAAACGAGAAAGGAAACACCATGGACCGACCTCGGAGCACAGGCTTGTGCAGATTTCAGTCCTAATACTGTCAAGTTGACTGGCACCAGGATCAAGGGAACACATCTGTATTGAAAGGTCAGCTACTGGTTAAGAGGCTTTGCCAAAAAATGCCATAGTGGTATGTTTACTCCAAAGACTACATCCATTTCCTACCATCAGTGTCCCAAGAGCCTTGGAATTACAGGTCTGGTCACATGACATCCTAAACCGTTAGGATCCATCCAGTTTTATGACTAGTCAAACTTGACTGGGATGTTCAGATCTCGCTTCTTCCTCTCAGAGTGGAGGTGGAAGGGAACCAAGCCCCCTACTGTTTCTGCTGTCAACCCTCACCAGGACCGTCAGCACGTTTCCCAAGATGATCTGTTGCTGTCTGCTCTCTCCACTACTTATCAGTCACACTGAGCTGACAACTCTTCATCGCTACACTTCAACTAAACTGTACAGTAAGTTCTGCAGGGGTGGATCCAATGTTTCTACCTTTATTTACAAATATCACACGAATGGACTCTAATTGAATCTACAGATTTAAATCCATCAGCTAAAAACATATTACATATTGTAAACATGGCAATATTTAATACAGTATCTATTCTAAAATATTTTCATGTTCATGATCACATTTGTTATACCTGAAATTGAATTTATACACATTAAAGAATTACTAGCAATGGCTGCTCACTTTATGGTTGAGGACCGGGGGCTAGGGCTACATTTTATTATCTCAGAAACATCTTCAAGGTAAAGTTAAAGCTTGTCTTTGATTGGCTCGGCGTATCCTTTTTTGTATCCGGATTTAAAATGAAGATTGACACAGAAAATAGCTAGGGCCCCTTCTAATTTACAGTATTTTAAAAAATCAGTTTAAGATTCTCAGGGAAAATGTCTGTTGTGAATTAAAAAAAAAAACTTGCAAAATAAACTTAATGAAAGAAGTGTCTGAGACAGTTGGGTGGGAATCCACCAGCCGTCAGTCTTCCTTAGGCTGCAGCTGTCGCTTCCAGGCCTCATTCAAGTAAACTAGTCGTTTGTAATTGATGATGAGGAGAATGAAGTTCAGCACGTATGTGATGACGCAGATGATGCAGAACTCCTTCAGCACAAAGTACAGAATGTAGGCCAGGTACAAAGAGCCCACCACGGACACGATGGAGGAGGTCATGAGGACAAGGGCCGCAACTGCACTGGCCGTCATGCCTGCAAGAGAGAGACATGGCTGGGTCAGGGCCTGGCCTGGACAGAACCTCTCAACTGACAAGTGACAGGCTGTAGCTAAAAGCAGTGTGGATCAATAATGACCTTACCTTCTTGACTCTGAAAACAGTGCAAAAGCCACCCGTCTGTTTAACACTAAGCAGGCTGAGTTTTACTGGACGGGTTCAGAGCTGCCAGGTTTCTGACATGTTACTATTTCATGAGGATGTGTGCACACGACTATGCAAGCTTACAATCATTTTAAGCAAAGATGCTGACAGTCTCCTAATGTGCAGAGGAATGAGGGCTGCAGCTTTCCTTCCAAACCACACCTCCTGGGGTAAGACCCTCCCCCTGGTGTTTCACTATGGGTTCCCTATCTGGGGAGAATGTTTTCATGGTTAGATCAAATTTACCAAAAACCCAAACCTGGTGATGCCCTCGCCAACACTGTGCTGAAGAGGAAAAAACAAAACAAAACGTTGAAACACTTTAGGATGGCTAACTGGTGGATAAGGGCAACTATAGCAGGCCAGTAGCCACATGTGCAGCAAAACAGATGAGGAAAACAGGCAGTCTGGGCCAGGTGTGGTGGCAACATGTCCATAATCCAGCACTCTGGGGCTGAGGCAGAAAGACTAAAGACTGAACCTGTCTGGGTTACAGTAAGACCCTGTCCCAAGGTGGGGGAAAGTAGTCAGGTATTAGAAGGCAGGGCTTAGGGCAAAAGTGTGTCTGGAGTCTTGACTGCCTTCCCATGGACTGTTCTGTGATTCCCCAATGCCACTGACACAAAGACTATATACACTCGTTTTCAAGGTCAGAAAAGGGCAGAGCTTCTTCAACTCTCTGCCTACCCAATGGCTAGTGGGCCAGCAAAGCCTAGACTGTGCTCAATGTAGTCAACTAGCACTGCCCTCACCGTGCTACCCACCTATGCTGAAAATCTAAGCCTGAATAATGAGTACTGACACCTTAACCTCCTCACAGACAGTTAAAAACGATGCAAGAACCAGGCATCGCGGGGCCACTCCAGAATCCCAGCACCCAGGAGGCTAAGGCAGGTGGTGGTCGTCTGTGCATCTAAGGACAGCCAAGGCTGAGTTCCAGCCTGGTCTGAGATATGTATATAAATAAATAAATATTTTGAGAAATGATACTGGTAGGCTAGAGAGGAATCTCCGTAGTAGCTCTCTTGTCATCTAGATGCACAAGGGTTCTAGATGCATGGGTTCAATCCCCAGCGCTGCAAGCAAACAACCAGAAAAATAAAATGATATGTAAACTATCTACTGTGCTTTTCTCCTCTCAGATTTCAGTAGCAGACAGTACACAAGCTACCTCCTCAGTCTGTTGTGAGGATTAAGTGAGCTCAGCTAAAGCTGGACTATCTGAGCTACAGTAAGGTGCTCAGAGTGCCCTGGAAGTGCTGCTACTGTATTAACGGTGGTGTATGCAGGTACTTGTGATTGGTGGGAAAACTGTGGACTTTATAATGGGCCATAACTCTAACAATAAAATATTTTATAGCTATGAAAAAAAATAAAATAAAAACAATGTATCCACATAAAAAAATAAAAAAGAGCCAGGCAGTGGTGGTGCATGCCTTTAATCCCGGCAGAGGCAGGCAGATCTCTGTGAGTTCAAGGCCAGCCTGGTCTACAAAGAGAGTTCCAGGAAGGCCAGGGCTGTTACATAGAGAAATCCTGTCTTGAAAAGCAAAATAAAACAAAACAAATAAAAACATATAGATAGATAGATAGATAGATAGATAGATAATTAAGATAAATAAAAAATAAATAAAAAAGAATAAAAGGGGGAGAAAAGAAAGCTGTAGCACAGGGAACACAGCATTTACTTTTTGTGTTTTAAAAGAAAAGAATAGACCATTTGTTTGTATTTTTTATATATGCAAAAACACACCAGAACCATGAGCTGGTGGGGGTGGGGCAAAGAAGATAAAACGAACTGGAACTGAGGTGGGATTGCTTTTCATCACACAGTAGCTTGTTTTTTTTAACATTTGAACTATGTTTAAAATGAACTATCATTTGAACTATCATTTAAAATGATGACGGTCACAGAGTCTACCGAGGGAATGAGGTGACAAGCTCTGGATGTGTTAGCTGATTCAAAAGAACTGACATTACAAAAGCATGTGGAAACTAACAAGTCAGGAAATGTGAGTGGAAATAATACACACGATGAAATTATGCACATGAAATGGAACCAGCACATTAATATTATAAATGGAAACCTGTCTCACCTCGATTTCCCACATAAACATGGATGACTTTTCCCTAAGCACTTTTCTATGAAGGGGAAGGAGCTGCTCCTGAGTTGGAGTTTGTACTTTAGAAATCCCACAGAACCAATACACTCGAGATGAGCCTTCCCCTCCAACCACAGACCCCTCGCTACGCTTTCCCACGCACATACAAACATGACCACCCTAGACTTTAAGCCCCATTTTGCTTGTTCTTCTGGACAGCATCCTAATCTTTTCCCACTCACTTCTGCTTTAATGGCTACACAGAACTTTCCAATGTGGACACGCCCTTGTCGGTTCAGCCGTTACTGACAGCTGAACCTCCCGTGATAGCTCTGCTATTTTAAACTGCACTATCATTTTGTCTACACCTTCCTATTTCTGCAGGATAAGTATGTACATTCAGAATTGGGCAAACCTGATCAAACTTTTTAGAAAAAAAATCATATTCCAAATGTGAATCACAGCAAGTCAACTGCAGACTTAACCAGTCACTGCACAGAAGAGCTGACAAACAATGAATAAAACATTAGAAGTTGAACCGCAAAGCACTAGACCCCAAGCATAACCACAAAACCAACATTTCAAAGGATAAAAGAATTATCACAAATAAGCTTAGTGGGCAGTAAAAGGACATTAAAATACAGTAAAATTACAAAGATGGCTACTGATACTTGATAACTAGAAAATCTGACAATAAAAAGGACACCCTTTTAAAATGAAGATTAGATGGAGACCAGACGACTGGGGGAGGGGAACAACAATTTGGCATAACTGTTAAAATCCATTAAAAAGTATTTTTTGACTTATTAACCTCATACCCGGAAATTTATTTCAGGGAAATAATTCAAGGGAGGCAGTACTTTAAAGAAAATGGATCCCCATGGCATTATTCACATCATATAAAAATGTGAAACTGAGATGTCCACAGACACTTAGGACAATGATATTGAAAATACAAGGCCATAAGACTTTTTTCTTAAAAGCAAAAGGCAGGGCTAGGGATGTAGCTCAATTATATAATTCTGGGTTTGATCCCAGCACCACGGGGGACAAACAAAAGACCCACAAGACAGGGAAACAGTAGATACATAAAAGCAATGAAGTTATGGCAGCTTCCTGCTACTGTTTACTTAATATGTGCTATTTTAAGATAGCCAGAGTCTATAATATAATTTTAAAAAACAAGCTCACAAGGAAGACTGGAGTAATAATTTCCATGGATGGGGTTGGGTTTCTGGACATCATGACACACTGCTAGCATGACTAAAGGTCCACTGATACCAAGGTCAGCACATCATAAAAAGCAGTGAATCACATTTTCACAGGACAAAAATGTGCTGCCCCCTAGTGGTGTTCTATTATTAGCACGTGCTTTTCACTATGAAGATACACTTTAGGGCGAAGACACAAGCACTGAATGGGGTAACAAGCTTATTTCTGTATCTCTGTATAAATACTTACCAAGTAATAACTGTAGTATATAAAATATAAGTCCAAAGACACTGTTTGGCTGGTTTAATACACCATCTTTTCCAAAAATGGAACCCAAAAGACCAAATCCTCGACCCCATCTGTAAAATAAGGAAAACCAGTAACCCTATATTTGAGATTCCCTAAATTTTAAAATGTAAAATTATTTGAGAATGTTATCCAATTCCAAAATCAACTACGTTGACAAAACACTTAAATATCTTTTGTTCCAAGGGTGATTTACGCACGCACAGGGGAAGGAAGGCCGATCACTAAATTCCTGTATTGTGTCTGATTTAAAATGATGGTTTAATACAAACAACCCTAAAAGCTCTGTATCTCCATCTAAGACTCTCCACACCACTTTCCCTTTTCCTTAGGTAGGCAAAGATTTCTTTACTGACAGAACTCAAGAGAAAGGCTCTCTCAATTCAAGTCACCCTCTCAGACCTTTCCAACTAGCTAATTCTTTGACGTGTGGGCTGTTCTTGCATTCCAGTGTTTAACAAGATCCCTGGCCTCCACGCACTCCATTTCCCACTCTCAGCTGTGACCATTAACCAAAGCCTTCAGCCACTGCTAAGTGCCCCCAGATGAAAACTGGATGTGGTCCATTCAACAGCTGTACTCAAAATCAACAGTGAGAATTGCTTACTGGAAATTTCACCAAGGTAAGCCTGAGGGATAGATACCTCGGGAAACAGATCTTTGAATGCAGAGCAATACCGGAAACATAGGTCTCTTCTAGAATCCTGCTTCCAAAGTAAAAAACTGATACTTCACATTCCTTTATCTGTTTATTTAAAGTTTAACTTTAAAATTTGTATGTGACTTCACATTTTCAGAAGCTCTTAAAAATAACTTTTATTGAGTTTGTTCTTTGACAATTTTATACATGTATAAGAGTTCATTCTGTCCATCTCCTTTAATATCTTTCCCACCTCTATTACCCACCCTAGAATCCTTATTTTAAAAAAAAAAATCATTATTAAAATCACGATTGAATAAGATAATACAAACAGACTAACAACTGGATAAAAACCTTAAGAGACTTCAGCTTGAACTCAGAAGGACAGTCTTTCTGAACACAAAAAGGAAATAACCGGAGTTTAGTGGGGTACACTAGAACCACCACTTCAACTTTGCTGTAAAGACAAACATCTGAAAATGAGAATGAACGATCGAGTCACACTAATTTAAAGGAATTCATGCCCAAGCAAGAGAACAAAACCCCTTCACACTGATGTCAAAACAGTAACCACCCCAATCTTGGAACTGGGAACTACCGAGGATTTTTATTACACAGACTTACACATTTCAAACCACAAAGCCAGTCCTGTTACACACATGTATTCTCTTCATTCATCAACTGCTTACTGAGTAGTCCGGGCACTGAAGGACAGCACTCAACAGACAGCACTGCCCTCATGGGACGTACATTCTAGTTACGGCCACAAAAATAAAAATAAAAATACACATAAGAATGGGGTGGAACATTCCAGGTCAGCACTTGGTAAAATGAAGTCACCTCGTGGGGACTTGTCAAAATGCAGATTTTGCTTCAGTAGGTTGGCAGTGGGGCTAAGACTGCAATCAACAAAAGGAGCTGAGGCTGGGTACATTCTGTAATTCCAGCACTCTGGAGGCTGAAGCAGAAGAATTATCATGAGTGTGAGGCTAACCTGAGCTACACAGTGAGTCCTAGGGCAGCCTGGGTTACAAAATAAGACCCTGTGTCAAAACAACAACAAAAATAATCAACTAGAAATAGACCTCCCATTGGACCCAGCTGTACCATTCCTAGTTATTAATGAGAATGGCTGCAAGCTTGCACATCGATGTTTCCTGCATGTTGTGGATATTGAGTTCAACCCCTGGAACTCACATAAAAGTGGAAGGAGAGAACTGACTCCACAATGTTGTCCTTTGACTTCCACATGTGTGCCGTGGCCATCCACCACCATCCCTGTCCACATCATGTATGCACATCTATATATAATAATAATACATTTTTTAAAATGTAGGGCCAGTGAGATAGCTCAGGGAGTAAAGGCCTTTGTCACCAAGCCTGATAACCTGAGTTCAATTCTCAGGACTTACTATGATGGACAGAACCAACCCCACAAGTTGTCTTCTGACTGGTATATGCACGCCATTAAAATGCACACACACACACACCCATTAGTAATCTTGTGTGAAGAACAGCCAAGGAGTCAGTATGGATAGAACATACTGAGAAAATAATTTAAAACATTTTTTAAGGTCTCACTGTGTAACCCTGACTATCCTCGAACTCATTATATAAACCAAGCTGGCCTTGAACTCAAAGATTTGCCTCTGCCTCCTTAGTGCTGGGATTAAAGGCGTGCGATACCATGCTTGGCTTTACCCCAGTGTATATTATAAAAAGATTATTTTGAAATGGATATGGAACTTAAGTAAAACATAGCTCTCTGAATAGATAGGTCTCTTCTGTATCCCAGAATCTAATCAATATTTATATGTATAACTCAGCTATCATTTGGCTTAAAAGGGGCTTATTGGGCTGGGTGGTGGTGGCGCACGCCTTTAATCCCAGCACTCTAGGGAGGCAGAGGCAGGTGGATCTCTGTGAGTTCGAGGCCAGCCTGGACTGCCAAGTGAGTTCCAGGAAAGGCGCAAAGCTACACAGAGAAACCCTGTCTCGAAAAACCAAAAAAAAAAAAAAAAGGATGAATACTATAGAATTGTATTACATGAAATATATGGAATATACAAATTTATAGAGACAGAAAGATTAGATGTTATCTCAAGACAGAGAATAAAGGAATATAGAGCAATGATTATCCTAAGTAAAGAATCTCTGTTTTGTGTGATGGAAAAACCCCACAAATGGACAGTAGTATCAGGACATAATATCATGAATGTAATAAATCAATTCAATTAATGAATATCATAAATATAATTATTGAGTGAAAAAAAAAGAAATAGGTATGGTTGTACATCTCTATAATCTCAGGACTTGAGAGGCTGAGGCAGGAGGAGGATGAGAAACTGAGGCCAGCCTGGGCTACAAAGCGATATTCTGTGTCCAAAAAAACAAAAACAAAATCGTTCTAGAGGGCTGAAAGACGACTCAGCAGTTAAGAGCACACACTGCTCTTGAAGAGGACCTGTGTTCAGATCCCAGACCCATGTCTGGTGGCTCACAACTGTTTGTAACTAAAACTCCAGGTGATCTGACACCTTCTCTGGCCTCCTTGAGCGTTGAACTAACATGAACACCTACACACACACCTACACACACACCTACACACACACACACACACACACACACACACACTAAAATAAAAATAAGCTGGGGGCAGAAGAAATGGCTCAGTGGTTAGGAGTGCTGGCTGCTCTTCCAGAGGACCTGGTTTGTGTTGCAGTGAAACACAGCATCTCACAACTGTCTATGGCTCCAGTCAGAGGATCTGACTCAACTCCCTCTTCTGGCCTCCTCAAACACCAGGTATGCATGTAGTTCACAGACATACAGGTAGGCAAAATACCCATACACACAAAAACACATAAAATAAAAAATTTTTTAAATAAAATAAAAATAAGCCAGGAATAGTGATGCATGTCCTTAATACTAGCACTCAGGTGGCAGAGGCAGGTAGATCTCTGTGAGTTTGAGGCCAGCCTGGTCTACATAGCAATCATGAAGACAGACAGAACTACAATAGGGAAACCTGTTTTAAAAAAAAAAATAAGTAAATAAATAGATAAATAAAGTATTTTAAAAAATTGTTTAAAAAGGCATTCTAAGCCGAGGAGTGGTGGTGCATGACTTCAATCCCAGCACTGGAAAGGCAGAGGCAGGCGGATCTCTGTGATTTGGAGACCAGCCTGGTGTACAAAAGTGAGTTCCAGGACAGCCAGGACTGTTACACAGAGAAACCTTGTCTCCAAACACAAAACAAAATAAACAAACAAACAAAAATAAATAATAAAAATAAAAAGGCATTTTAGCCATGTTGGCCAAATGCTGAGATATGCTAGATCCAGGCTATTTGGAGGGTGCAGCTCCCAGAGCTTGTGCACACACACAGAACATACATGAAGTATGATACAAAGAAATGATGCAACACTGAGGACTTTGACTTGAGCAGTTGGGAAGAGAAGCTGCTCAAGTCTTCTGAGCTAGGAAGGCTATGATCAGAAACTGAGCTTTGGACCCAGGTTTATACTGCCTTTATGCATCTACATAAGGTGACAGATAAGCAACGAGATGTATGAACTTGCAGTGTAAGCTAGAGATAAATTTGGAGGCAGTCAGGGTATAATGACATCAACAACAACCTTTGATAAATTAATGGCATCAGAGATGGAAGGGTGAACATGTGGCTGAGGACTTTGGTGACTTATGCTTGTGTTTACACAAAGCACAACTGTTCCTGTTTCAGTTGTCAATCCTGTGCCTTCAGATAGTCTCAGATGCTACAGTTCAGTAAAACACCACCCGGCCAACATTAAAACACTCTTAAGTTTCCTCAACTAATTCCAGATTTGGTGGCTTTCCCTTTAATGTCCTTGAAATGGAGGCCAGAGATGTCTCATCAAAATGTGGCTGAAGGGATGAGGAGATGGCTGATTTGGTAAAGTGTTTGCTATATAAGCAAGGAGATCCAAGTTCAAGCCCCAGAACTTATGTAAAATGTTAGGTGTGATGGCATCTGTAATCCCAGCCAGGGGATGGGGAACAGGCAAGTGAATACCTGGGATTTGCTGGCTAGCCAGCCTAGCCAGATCAGGATGTCCCCGACCAGTGAGAGACCTTGTCTATCCAGATGCTCAGTGGGTAAAGGCCCTTGCTGCCAAGCCTGACAACCTGAGTTCAATCTTCAAAACCCACATACATGGTGGATGGAGAGAAATGGTTACCGCAAGTTGTCCCCAACCTCCAAATAATTCTGTGGTGTATATACAAAAACACGCATAAATAAATAAAAAAACTAAAAAAATAATAAGAAGGGAAAGGAAATCAAGGAAGTCATTCAACACTGACCTGCCTCCACATGCACTGGGTACACACACACACACACACACACACACACACACACACACACACAGAGAC